CCCAGGAGGGAAGAACATACACTAAGAACTAAACTTGTCATATCAAAATGGAGGGAGGAATACCATGACACTGACAGAATGTACAAGTTATGTCATCAAAGCCATGCTTATATGCAATCCATATTTGCAAGATCATCAGTGACATATATCAACTCACAAATATCACTGGGACTATCACAAGGGTACAATAATTTCTTGATCTTTTTACATTATACAGATTGCTATATATTCACAAAAATGTACAGAATAAAAGAATGCAAACCAGAACAGGTTGGATAGATGTCCCAATCCACACGTGGCACGTACCCGTCTTCTGAAAGGGAAGCAACTCTTGCTGTCCTCTGGCGGGGGCAGATCCAGTCTTAGATCATTACTGGGTGTGTTATTTGGCCCAAACACATTCAGTTCCTCAAAACACTTTGTTTCTATCATCTGCCACAAATCAAACAACTTATTAGTTAAAAAAAAAGGAAAAATAAATAAAGAGTAATAATATTAATACTTAAAACTAAAATACAAAAAACAACAAAGTTGAAATAACACCAATAAAATATACAAACAAAGAACCATGAATTCAAATCAAACATAAACAAGACAAAGTAATAAAAAAGAAAACTGAAAAGGGGAAACTCAAACCAAACATGTTGAACAGTGTTTGAGCGAAATAATGTAAGGCAAAATAGGAAATACTATTCAAGTAATCCAAAACAAATCATGTATCACTGAAATATATCAAACTTATTAACAAACCAATCAATGAACAAACAACTATAGATGCAAAAATAGACACACAAAAAGATAACTTTAATACTGAAAAAAAAATTATAATAATAAATAATAAAATATGATGAATACTCTCTACTACAACTAAAGCCATTTTCTACATCAGCATTCCTGCTCCAAACACCTAAAGGAAAACACAACATTCTTCTAAAACAGTACCAAGTATCTTGCTTTTTGGGCGCACTGGGCTGGTGTAATCTGCCTCTACATCACCAGAGAGTGAGACCGTTGTTGACGCATTTTTAATGAAACATTGCTCTACCACATAATCTAATCTACTGCAATGTGGTGAGGTAAAAATGCATATATATATAAATATATATAAATATATATATATATATATATATATATATATATATATATATATATATATATATATATATATATATATATATATATATATATATATATATATATTTAAGATTTGTATCTTTCATTTTTGATAGATTCCAGATTTTTAACTTTATGGTTCTTATGGGGGGGCAACATCGAGACATATTCTTACAACACATATAGAATCTTTGTATAAGCACTACATACTGAATAGTATATGAAAAGTTTGGAACATATCAAATCTTTCCTTAACAAAAAAAAAAAAAAAGAGGTACCGTTTTTTCTTCAAAAAAGGATGAAGTGTACTGAAAACTGACAAACTCCACTCAATGATAACAGCCATATCAATAAGGAAATAAGTAGAAAAATGCATAATTCTGTCCTTATGAAATATGGGAAAACAAAGTAAAAACATCCATGACAGCACAAGGAGCAAGAGTGGAAAACTATACATGTGAATCCAGGTAATCATAACAGCCAATTTCTGAACCATTTGCCTGATACTCATTTCTTTTTTTTCTTTTCTTTCTTTTATTCAAAGTCTAAATTACCAACTTATCAAGTCTACAAATGAATATCAATAATAAATATTTTAGGTTAAAAAGTATCAATAGTAATAATCAATTAATCATACATATCACAATCATATTTCCTTCCCTAAGGAGGATGGTAAGACTTGTTGACTAAAATACTGTCTATCTAACATTAAGCACTAAAGTGGAAAAAAAACCTGACAACTCTAGTCTCTTCAGTAACATGCAGAGGTACTAGAATACAGTATACATACCAATGTCCTATTACCAGACTCGAGCCCACTCACCTCCTGTTGCCATGGGATAGATACTGAGCCAGTGTTAAACTTAGAGTAGAAGGAGTCATCTGTGGCATCCAGGTTTACCCCCTTCACTGTGCTAAATTGCTCAATGTCCAGCACATCCTTGGCATATACCGCATGTGGCTGGAAGGAAAATGGTATGTCACTTCCCTTTCTGTTAACAAGTTACTTAACATCCCTAAACATAAACATGTCACCCATATCTATCCATATTCATATTCTTAACCATTCTCAAAGAACTAAAACTGAGTAGATGTGTTTATATAGAAAGCAAAAATTTGTCATTGTTTTACGAGTACCAGACAGTAAAATTAAAGGACAATTTGCATTTCATTGAATGCTTAATGACATGGGAAGTATGACTGCTATTGGTGTAATTAATTATGGCATCTATCATGACTTACAGTTGATTTGTATGCGACTGTCTACAGCCACTATTTCATAGAATTATTACAGAAATTCACTAACTATTCCTTGTTCACTTTTTCTGATTTTATCAGTATCAAAAGTAAGGTCTTTTGATAAATTGTTATTTCATATACTGCTGCATTCTTTGACAAATTTTGCATTAATATTTACATTTTTTCTACTTAACAGCTAATTCCTTTACACAGACTGAAACGAAAGTCAGGAGTATCAATTACATGCTTCCGTCTCCAGCCCGCTAATGTTGATTAAATTTTTGGTGCCTTTTTATGCCTTAATAATCTAAAGGGGATCGTTTGTTTTATTTTCTTTTTCTTCTTTTGCCAATTTTGATGAAAATCACACTCTTATCTAAACCCTAGCGAGATCTCCATGACATTTTTTTTTTTTTTTTTCTTCTTTTTTCCAAATCGCCTCAAAACTTTTTGACTTATAGTATAAAAAAAAATAAAAAATAAAAATAAATAAATTGAAACTTAACCAGAGTAGAAAAATTCTAAAAAATCCCCAAAAATCTACACAGGCATTCTGATTGTTTTGTTTCTTTTAATAGAATCATCCTAAATCTAAGAATAGGAAATTTTTTTTTGTGATTTCAACTTTTTTTTTTCTTTTTTTCTTTTTTTTTTTTTTTTTTTTTTTACAGAGATGACTTTCAGGTGGGAAAAAAAAAAAAATTGTACATGTCACTTTTACGAGAAACACAGGAAAAATATGAAAAAATCTCTATATTCCCTAGATTTTTTTTTATCACCAAAATGATCCAAAATACATTTATTTTGGACTAAATTTATGTTTGCTAGAGCTTTCGTGCATAAATTTTTTTCTTTCTTTTCATCATCTTTTTGTTATGAACAATAAATGAGGAAGAATAATCTTCATAAACCATAATCATCTATCATCTACCTGCATTCCAAAGTTTTGCAGAAATTCTCAGCCTACAACAATGTTACAAAAAAATCCATTTTCTTACAGTAGGGTCCAACTACCTGGGTGTTTGTTGACGTAAATTGACCATTTTTTTTAATTTCTTTAAATTCCCATAAAGATTATACAGGCCTTCTGATTTCATTCCTGAATAGAGTAATTTTTCATCTACTGCATGTGGAAGCACATTTTTAAATTTTGACTGTTTATTCTTATTTTTTTGTGAATATTTTGTGTAGATTTATTTTAGAACACCACAAAAGAGGATTTTTTATATATGTCACTTTTACATGAAGCACATGAAAAAACTGGAAAAATGCATCATTCAACAGATCTACTATTCAGCTACAAAATGAGCCATATTAAGTTTATTTTGGACTGAAAATGTGGGTGCTACACATTATAATGTAGTGTATAGAAATACACATTTTTTTCAACCTCGTATCTTTTACGTTATAGACAACAAATGATATATGAGATAGTTCTATATGATAAAATCTTCTATCATTTCCCTTTATCATTTTTGTAATGCCACTGAACATCACACTCGCTGGCCGGCTGACCTTTCACACCAACACTCCAGTGAAATACAAATATACAAATACAGGGGGTATAGCAGTATGAACATACGATATATATGAATATACAGATCATTACCGTGTATTTCATGACCTTATACATGTAAAAGCAATAAATAAACGTAATAAACGTGGCAAGGGCGGACATGCCATCCCCGTCGGCATGTGGTTAATTCCCCAATGTCATCACTGTCAGTTAACATGCTGTCACTTTACAACAATGCACTCTTTTACCTATTTTCCATCCATTACCTGAAGGGGTGCAATAGCCTGTTTCAACAACATAGTTTTCCTATCCTCGGAACATTATGATTCCTAAAGCAAAACTTTCCTTGCCACATTATTGTTTATATTTCAAAAGTTATTGGGATGTAAATGGGATGGCATCCTATATCAAAATGACTTTATCAAAAAGAAACAGCAAAAGCACTATCATTACTTGAATTCTAAATGAAAAAAAAAAAAAAAAAAAAAAAAAAAATCTTGGCATATTGAACATACATAAAATCCATGGATAATGCAAGGAACTTTCAATGATAAATGTTTACAAGTTTTTTTTATCAGTGAAATTATTCATAACAAGTTCTTCAACATTCTTGCATGAGCTCATCTCCTTATACTAAACTGCGACTAAAGATGTCAAGGCAAAGGGTATAGCTACACTTACATCTGGAACAAAGGGAGGATCGCAAATGCCAGCTTCTAATCTCTTCCAGTTGACATTGCGATAGAAGTCATGACTCTTGACTTCAGCAGCACCGTGTCGACCCCGATTGCATCCCAGTCGTTCTCGTGCATTCTTCTTGAGTAGCTGCAAAAAAGGATGCAAACATGAACATTTACTGTTGCTGAAAATGAGATGAATTCATGACTGACCACATAATAAAACACTAACAAACCATACAATAACTCCGACAATGCCAACTAATCCCTGTCTACCAAGTAGTGTGTACGATTTCAATCCACAATCTGGACTGACAGATCTCCCTGCTTAGACTATTTCCTTTCTCTCTCTCAAAAATTTTATGACAAAGGTGATCCATTTACAAAAACACCTACCAAAGCGAAATACTACAAAATTCAAAGTGAAAATCTAAACTGATAAACATTAAATCCCTCAAGTCCTTGATACACTCCATACTTCACTTTGCTGGATACAGCATCAATTTAAGGCACAGAAGTCAAACATACATTATACTAGACTGATGTTTTTTTTCATAATCTTATTTTCATCATTATCACTATTATCTTCATCATTATGGTCATTATCATCATGGTCATTATCATTATAAATGTTTATTTTAAGCTCATTATTATAGTTAATTACTATCATTATTCATAATCATTATGGTGATCATCATCATATTCTTTTCCATCTTTTTCATCATCATCATCACCTCTATCATCATCATACTTATCATCATAATCCTTATCATCCTCATCATCATACTTATCATCATAATCCTTTACATCCTCATCATCATCCGTATCATCTTTATCATATTCTTATCATTATCATCATCATCATTATCCTTATTATCATCACCATGATCAACCTTATCATCCTTATCGTCATCCTTATTATCATCCTCACCATCCTTCGTATCACCACCATCCTTATCATCAACCACCATCACCATCAATTATCAATACCAACAGCAACAACTCACCATTTGACATACTAACTTGGCCTCTTCGGAAAACTTATGAGAGTATGTTTCTTGCTGTTCTTTCACTCGGCGATCTACTTCTTCCCGTTTTACCTGTGGATCAGCATTAATCAATATATATCAAACCATAAAGTCATATCTACACACAAGGGATCACAGACTAATCTCTTTCTCTCTCACTATGCATCAAACACATCATGAAACATACCTTTTCTTTACGGGCTCGGAAGGGAGCTTGTCCTTCAATCATTTCGTATATTAGGCATCCAAAACTAAACCAGTCTGGGGAAAACGTGTATTTCTCATTGTCTATCACTTCTGGAGCTGAAAGAGAAACAAAAAATATATGACATTAAAAGAAAATAAAGAATTATGGCATTCAAGAAAAATAAAGAATTATGGCATTCAAGAAAAATAAAGAATTATGGTATTCAAGAAAAATAAAGAATTATGGCATTACAGACATTCTTAACATCATCCAAAAAGAAGATTAACCCTTAACACCTAAAAACTGCAAGCTCTCTACTTTGCATTAAGAGAGAGCAAAGTTTAAGTAATCACAGTTATTCCTCATATAACATAAAAAATAATAAAACATGGGCACTTGCAGGAACTTCTATTGGTTGCCAACTCTGCCAGCGTGCTATGAATAGTTGAGTCCTACTTATTTGTAGCACCAGGAAAGCTTAAACTCTCAAGCACTAAATCACATTTGTGTACACAAAAATCCTCATATACATGAAAACTATTGGAACCTTATAAACACACAGAGACACAAAATCACATTTCTATTATAACCTTATATATATATATATATATATATATATATATATATATATATATATATATATAATATATATATATAATAGATAGATAGATAGATAGATAGATAGATAGATAGATAGATAGATAGATAGATAGATAGATAGATAGATAGATAGATAGATAGATAGATAGATAGATAGATAGATAGATAGATAGATAGATAGATAGATAGATAGATAGATAGATAGATAGATAGATAGATAGATACAGATAGATATATAGAGATATATAGTCATATACATATAAAAATACATACATATAAATAACTAGATTAATCAAAGATACTAATAACCATGATCAATTATAGTTTTAAAGAATAACAACAAAAATGTTACTCACCCATGTAGCCAACTGTCCCAACACGTCCACGCACCATCTCCCCTTCTGGAATCTGCACAGCTAAGCCAAGGTCAGATATTCGAACATGGCCGTGATCATCCAACAAAATATTCTCAGGCTTGCAGTCTCTATACACAATACCCTGCATGTGTAAGTGGCCCAGTCCACACAATACCTGGAAAAATCAGATAAAAGTTAAAATTAAAATACTTAACAAAATGTCATAATACAAAACATAATTCTCACTACTCCTTCATGTAGAAGAAAATTTTTCTACTGTTAACAACACCTTAGTTAAAAATCAATTTACATGTAAAATCAGTACAAATAAATATGATCCCATACAGCGATTAATAAGTCTATTAAAAGTGAATGGCAGACCTACTCCATTTCATCTAAGTCTATTCTTCTGTAATAATCTAAACTCGTAACTCAATCCTTATCAACAAAAGTTTTTCATTTGATAAGCAGTTTTGACTAATCATACCCCTGGCCACAAATCTGATTTCCAGAATACCTTCAAATCTTATGGTTGGCCAACGTCCCTATTACGTTAGACACAGAATAAACAGACATGTCATCTACTCTTACTTCATTTTTCAGATAAAATTTGTTTTATGGATAACAGATAGGAAAGGCTGAGGAGCAGCAGAGGATGTTCAGCATAAAAACCTGTCAGTCTGAACCAGAAATTCCTATTCCTGGCAGTAGAGACAAGGATAATTTAGCCGAGCAGACAGAGAGGAATACAGCAAATAGATGAAAAAATAGACAAATATAAGCAAAAGGTTACAATTATATATTTCTAAAAATAATGGTAATAAGAATAAGAAACTGAAAAAATAAGGACTCATAATAATAATAATGTCTCACTTCATCTTACTCTTTTTATTTTATCGTCAAAAAACTGTAGAATGAGGAAGGCCTAGCAGAATAAATAAAAATTCAAAACAATATAGCACTTTGAAATTCCAAAACTTTATTAACCCACTAGCGACGTCATATTTTGAAACCGAAAATAATAGATTCCAGGTGGCTTCAAAATCGGCCCACTGGGCTGGCCCGGAATCTGCCCGCGCGCCGGCTGTGGCCCGCAACGGAATCAGAGCACAAGCTCCTATCCACCATCACACTGGCAGGACACCCAGCAATGTTATTTTTCCAGGTGTCTCATATGTGGAACACTTGTCGTAAGTGGGTTAATTTTCAACTATTTTTCAATGAAACTATATCTATACAATAATTTGACAGTGAAAATTTGAGTATCCTTATATTTCTTAACCAACAATAACACAAATATGGTAGTTCAGTAAAAAAATAAAAATAAAAATAATAATAATATTAATAATTAATTATGTAAAAAAATAAAAATAATAATAAAACTCATGAGCATAGGATGTAAAAAGGTAAAAAATCACATTTCCAGCAGGTTCCCCAAAACGTTTTGAGGGATTTCTGAAAATAAGTTACAAAAAACCTGTCCCTTAATTTGGTGTACAAGTTTAGATGAAGCATTCAGACTTTCTAGCACTTGTAGAGTTATGCACAATTGAAAAAGGCTTTGGAAGTATGGCTAATGGGGCTCCCACTATTCTTTCGTAACAGCATCATTAGAGGCAAAGCCAGCAGTTTTCAAGCCAGCTAGTGGTTGTAGTAAATATTTTTCTAATTATTATAATCAACTTTCGTAAAGAGCCATATTACCATTTTTCCTCTAACCATCCCTACTATCACTGTTAGGAGGAAGCACCCATTTACACACTTTCTCATGTGTGTAGCTTGCTCGCGCTCTTACTTACATGCCTGCTTGCTATTGCTCACGTGTCTGCTTTTCTTTAACATACTCGTTCTATCAACCATTAACCTTCACTGTCATACTTTATACTCATCTGTCACATAGCATTTTCATTTTTGCCATGCTTATGTGCTATTCTACAAAAGAAACTAGTCCAAATGTATTCAAACAGAAATACATCAAATTTTTTTATCCAGAAAGTTTCTCTTCAAGTAATTTGGAGTATCTCAAAATTTTAATTACTCAAATAATTTCTGAACAAATACAAAATAACAGGACTGCTACCGGTAAAACAGTACTTAACCCATTGGATCTGCTTGCTTCACTGCAACATGTGGCCCAAAATACAGGTAGGCTTATTAAATGGATACTCTGCTGGGTATGTGGCTTGACTTGTGATCAGTGACAAGATGCTGTGCCTTCCCTTTACAATTATATCTTTACTATTTCAGCATGTGCATTTTTTGCCTTTTTGCCATTCCAAATGTCTATATTTGTCATTTGTTTTACTTTATCCAGATGGTAATACTGCTTTCCTTGAACAGACTCCACATCATCTCTTTAGGTAGACCATAAATAAATGCAATAATAATATCAATATCATTTTTTCTTTTCTTTCTTTTCTTTTTACCCTACAATCTTGATAATGTTACAGTCCCGTCAAGGAAGAATCTGGGTTGAGGGCCGGGTGACGTGAACATGCTGTCGTCAGACAAAATGGCCATGGGCCAGGTGATACAAACTTGCCATCATGGGCGAATACCAGGGTGACACAAAAGACTCGCCATGAGTGCACTAACCTGTGTGATTTGACTCATTTGGCACTTAGAAGGGGGCTTTGGCATTATTCCCATCAATAAACAAATGTGGAAAATGGTGTTATGTAATGACTGGAAGAGCACTGGCACTGGGGAGAACACCACTTTCATGCTGTGCATTGTATTCCTGGCCACTGTGATCAGCGGCGCAGGCTGTATTATGAAATATTAAAAATTACGAAAGAATAAGATATGACACCAAAAATGTTTCTTTTCTTTTTTTCTTTTTTCTTTTTTTTTGGCACTGAGTTATTTACTACAAATATGGACATTGGAAAATGGTAGAAAAGCTAAAAAAGTTCATACAAAATAACTTTGCAAAGGGGAGAAACAGAATCTTGTCACCGCTAAAGAGTGTTTGCACACATCTGCCTTAACCCATTCACGCCGGTATATTTTGAAGCCAAAAATAAAATATTCTGGGCGGCTACAAAATCGGTGAGCAGAGCTTCCCCAGAGTCTGTCCACCCGAAAGCCGCGGCCCGCTGCTGCATCGGGGCGTGAGCCCCCATACAGCGTCACACTGGCGAGACACCCAGCAATGTTTATTTTTTCGGGTGTCTCAATATATGGGACACCCGTCGCTAATGAGTTAAGCACTGCATGCCCAGAATATTGGCTACTTACTAAACCAATTGCCCATATTTTCACCAACATTTTCCATGATGCAACCAGATCCAACGGGTTAATATTCAATTGTCTGTAACAAAACTTGCACCATCATTCGTGATGGGCAGGAAGGATCCAGAATATGGAAACAGCATCCTCTCTGGACCCAGGGTTCTTCCAGTCATGGCACTGAGATGATACATTCTACACTTGTTATCTATGAAAACAATGCAAAATCCCCTTCCCAAAAACCTACAGGGTCTTATCACCCTCCAAGAGCTTTATGCACTCGTGGTGGGCCATTCGCATCACCCCCACCTTCAACCAAAAGTCTATTGACAGCAAGTTCCTGTCACCCCAGTAGTCAGCCAAATTTTACCATGATGGTATGTTTAAGTCAACTTAAGCCAAAGTTTTTCATGATGTGATGATCATGTCATCTAAATTGCAGGAGTTAAGTATGTGATACCAAAAAGATTTTCATGCAATACTGGTACTGCTAATTCTAGTACTTGAAAAGTACCATTAATTTCAACCTTTGAAATTCAAGGCTCTTCACAATTCCCTACATCAAACTATTCATCAGGGAAAAACTGATATATTGACATTAGTGAGAAAGTTACTGGTAGTGCCAACATTTGAAGATTTAGTATGACATGGGATATCATATTACTAGAGACAAGTAGCAAATGAGGTTGAGCGCAGGTGTCAACGTGAAATACACAGCGTATGTAGAGTGCGTTCATTTGATCTGTTGCCATTGCTGATGAGGAAAAAGCCACATTGTTTTATTTAAATCCAATTATCTAAATAAGAAAAGAAATTACAAGATCATTTTGTTGCAAAAGACAATATGCATTGCATTAATTTTGACAAACAAACAAATGGGATGTTTTGCTGTTGCTGCAAGATTTCTCATATAAAATTAAATAAGAATGACCGTTCTATCTTAGGTTAGAGATGTTTTCTAACATTCTAAAGCTAATGCTAACAAATGCTTATATATTAGAAAAGATACCATAAAAATTGAAAGCATCAACAGGTTCTCAAATTACACTAGGAACAACTTTCAATCATTGAAACAAGTCATGGTCTAATAGTATTTTCTATAGCAAGAGTCTTCTAACATTTCAAACTTACTGGTTCCCAATCATCATCATCACATATGTGACAGGTTTTCAAAGTACTACAAGAAAAAGGAAAAAGCATCAATATAAATAAAAATTCTGACTGGTTTACAACAACAGGGTATTTGTAATGAATTATAGACATTCTGCATTAGTATTGAACATTCATGCATTATAATTTAGATATCTTAATATTACTAAATATGGCAATAATTACTAATAACAATAATTCTCCACCACTATTTTTAAGCACAACTGCCTTTCTCAAACTCAAGTTGGCCTAGTAACTTTGAAAAAATAAATAAATATCTTTATATTCAGTACTAATCACTAAAATCCTGGTGCCTTAGCAGATAATAAAGTAATAGAATGGATCCAGGTGAAGTGACTGCCATATCATGAAAAAAATGAGGCTGAAAAGTGGGAAATAGGAATACGTCATCATGGAAAAAAAATGGCTGAGGGTTTCGTAACAAGAAAGTGCTATCATGAAAAATTCCTCTGAAGGCACACCATGAGTGCACAAAGCTCTTGGAGGAAATGTGGACTCAGTGGGAATTTAGGAAGGGGCTCTAGTATTTTTTCTATCAGCAAAGGAGGGCGAAATGTACTATTCAAGAGCAATAACTGGAAGAGCACCAGTTCTAGGGAGGACACTATTCCCATGCTTGGGATCCTATTCCTGTCCTGACCAATGGTACAGGTTGTATAAAAAGAAACTGAATAATATGAAAATATAAAAAAATAACAACAAAATGTAGACTACCTAGTGAGGTAATATCTAGTTTGGGCAAAGAGAACAGTCTATTACCATCTTAATACAGCATATGTAATGACAAATAGCAACCTTGGAAAATGGGGAAAAAAGCAAAAGAAATGCAGAAAAAGAGAGAACATTGGAAAGGGGAGGTAATGAGTCTTGACACTGCATGTGGGCCAGGCCAACAAGCAACACACCTGGGAGAGTCACCTGTCAAAGAAGCCTAATGCCACAATTTTGGGCCACTTGCGGGCTGCCAGGCACCCAGATCCAACAGGAAAAGAGGCATGACTAAACAGCATAAAAGCCCATTCATCCATAATTTGTGACATGCAGATATGGGATTCCTATATCAAAGCCCTGACAGAGTTTATGCTAGCTTGCTGTTTTCTCATTACAGTCTTAAAAGTTTTGCAGCATAATCAACAACTAGTTTTGAATATTCCAAGTCTAATGAGGAATTAAGTTAAAAGATTTGGACAATGAAGGAGACTGATACTTCCCAAGACTCGATTTCAAAACTTGTAGGTAACTTCAGTATCGTATCTCCTACAAGTAGTTAAGTGTGATGAGTAATTGCATTTACATCTAATACTAGTTTTTCATTTCAATATAGAGCAACAACAGTGTTTCACAAACAAAAATTATTATAGAACTCGAGACAAAGACCAGGTT